TTTTACAGATTCTGAACTACAACCATGAAAAACAAGGCTGAATCAAGAACAGAAGCAACTTGAATCTCACCAATTGCCCTTGACAGTCATGGCTCGTGGCTGGCGGTAGAGGTCACGCTAAAGGTCAGGTGGGGTCAATGGCCAGGACGGACCGTGACGAGCATTGCGGCACATTAAAGTTTCGCCACCAAAGTGTGCAGTTGGCCTGGCATTGCGCAATCGGATGGTAAGGGTCAGGGCTCACACAACAAGCACTACTTAGTGCGAGCTATGGTCCTAGAAAAAAGATCCATTCAAAACGTTCGGATTACATTTTTTAAACGGCGGGGAGAGAAAATAGCATTGCAAATGTTCAAATAAGATACGAATCTTTTCAGCGACTTGTTAGCTTCTAAGAGCATTCAACGGTGACACGTTCTACAAAAATACTCTATACAAATTTTCACGCGGACGTTGACGCCGACCTTGATGCACAGATTTACGTTGCCGATACATTTTATACATATTTTAATGTTGAGGTCCACTTAAATGTAAAAAACTGGGCAAGGGGGAAGGTATGCATACACTGGTTGCTTGGCCAGTTTACCACTTAAATGTAAAAAACTGGGCAAGGGGGGGAAGGCAAGCATATACTGGCTGCTTGGCCAGTTTGAGTACAACAGTAAGTAGTGTGATCTCAGCCGCCGGAGTTACACCATCAGCCGTACGTATAACTTGCATAATCACGTAGGTTACAAGCAAGAAAGTCATAGCGTTTGTGATGTGACGCCTACCCTTGGAAGTTTGAGCAACTGTCGGACTTGTTAACAATTGTTAAGTTTCAATGGATCCCGAACTAAACGACAAATCACTAGGATTTTTGCGATCATTATGGGACACCTACGGATGGCGCAGACCACATTAACTCCAAGAAATCCGCAGAAAGCTGACAGCCCAACGCAATCTAAGAAAACCTCGAGCCAGGACCCTCATCCTTCGGAACGCATTCAGCATCTGCGTCGGAACGCTCCTCCACCTGCAGCCGCACCGTCAGCCGCAGTTGAGCAGATTCAGCCCAGGCTCGGGCCACACTGCGCTAACACCATGCACGACAACCCCATCGACGACGTCACTAACATGAGGCTGTTCCGCTACCTGGTCGGCAGCTCGAGAGACCGGGATCAACGGACCTGGTGGCCTTTTCATTCCCGGCCACCTTAAGGTAAGGTACGATGTGCCAAACGCCGCGTTATTCGAACTGTTTTGGAAATGTTCGCCTCAGCCTTTTCCAGTCGTTCTGCCACGGTTATCAGCGAGCGTCGAACAGCCCGGACAGTGAGGTGTATTTGGTGTACCAAATACGCGAAATACACCTGCTGTTACCTGGTAGCCGCATCTGTTGCAGAGCGGAGGCGCGCTGCCCCAAACCTAGGCAAATTTCAAGAAGGCCTTAAACAGGACCAGCTACCACTTATACTTCTTGTCCCGCCCGTAGTTTGCGGCGAAACCACAAGGAAATTAGTGCAAAAAGGGACGCTCGAGAGCGTAAAAAAAAACACAATGACAGAGCAATGACATACGTTCCAAAGATTTACTACGAGCTTTTGAATGGCTGAATTTCTAAGATCAAACTCCATACCAAGCAGCGTTCGAAATCATCAGCAACAATCTCAATGGTATACCGATGGGAATACCAGATTGCCCGTTGCTGCGGGCACAACGAGCATCAACAAATACCATTAGAGGGAAAGTGCTTCTTTGCTCCCTCATATCTCCATCTTTTCCATTCGTGGTTTGATTCCTTTGGTTGTAGTTTTTGGTCACCTAAGCCCGTTCATCAACACATTTCCGTGGTTTTCTTGTCATACCGATTTTTCTAATTGACACGTGGATGATTGAGGAGGGCGATGACCTTGATTGATGCCATGGCGAGGGATATGCTATCTTGATCAACGCTTCAATGGATCTAACCGCGAAAATCGAGAAATCAGTGTGCCGGCAAGTGAAAGATCAGTTCCTAAAATTTCCTGGGGCTAAACTCAACCTACTCCGCATCTGAATGACGTTTCAATCCTAATCGTATCGTATGAAGTGTACACAGCTGAGGTAACTAGGTTTGAACATGCCAGCAAGCACGGGCAAAATGGAACAGTGAAGTCTTTGTTACCATTAGCATCTATTTCAGCTGGAATCTTGCCTTCAATAAATAAGCTGGTCCTGGGTGTAACCAACGGGGTGCACCCAACGGCAACCAGCGGAATATGAATGGCTCATGAGGGTATCGCATTAAGCGCATGTTCAGGAAGCTTTGGAAAACGATCAACAGAAGCTTGGTAATTCGACGCCGCTGAAGCTCCAAACGTACTTATTCGCCGCCAGTCCCGCGAATCGCAAAACAATCATGAAAGTCAACCAATACAGTGCCCCGGCAGCATTACTGTCATTATCAGGAGCAGGCTCAACTCAAATTCTAAGCAGCTTGCTTTGTGCTGCATTCGCATTTCTAGTGTATTGGCCTGTTTCATATCACCAAATGTGACAGAGTTGCCCGCCTTCTGAGAATGGCGCCTGCATCCCTAAGTCTTGAGTGAGAAGCTAATACTGCCTTCTTTGCAATTGTGTTGAATTGCCAGGATCTGTAAAGTAATGCCGTCATTCTGGATTAATCTGGTAATTTCCTTGTTATTCAAACATGCCTCCTACTTCACTTCGTGAACGTATTGGTAAAACTACTAAAACGTTCACGTTATAGAAAAGGAACCAAAAAAGACCAGGCATTTCGCTATGCAGCTTCACAGCTACATAGCAAATAGCAGATCTAAAAAGGCCGACTAAGCAGCGGCATCGCGCGTTCAAAATAGTCTGCAGACTTCCAGTCTTCGGTTGCCGCCTGCCGATTTTGAAAAACGACGCCCGTTTCTTTGTGTTTGCTATTTATTATTGACGAAGCTGCAAACAGAACTATGTTGACTCTCGGCTATATTTGTGTGACATGGAAGCAGGCTAATTTGTCTACCTCAAATTGATTAATGCTAAAAAAACAATATCCGAGCTACAACTACCAAAGCTTGCCAGTTTGAGCACACTGCACAATGGGCGCCCCAGACAACTGTGCCTAAAACGGGCCGTTTGCGATTCTGGTTGATATCTGTCGTTCAGTCACATTTAAGCTCCATTCCATGCTGTCGTTATAGGGGCTTTACGACGCATTCAGCTGCTGAGGCTATATGGTGTTGCCTGCTTCTCACCCTGGAAGAGAGCACGGGCCCCACGGGGAAACGAACCTGATACCGCTGGTTTCCCAGAAGCGCAGTTTAACCACTGCACTATCGGCACCCCCACAAGTCAGCGCTGAATCACGCGAAAAAATCGAATCGCATCTGATTCTGGATCACGTATATGTGCACAGATTCGAGCCAACCCAGATTCCTCCCAACTCGGCGTCATTCTCGAGTCGATTCCGCTGCTAAATAGAATCGAGCACCACTCAGCCGCAGAGCGCCAAGGCTGTGCTCTGAAGCCTATCCGCCCCCGTACAGAAGTGAAGTGAGACGTATATCAACGGCCGCGTCAGGAACGCCAAATGAGACCAGACGAACATCCATCATGCTGTCATAACAACTGTAATTGCCGTTGCCAGGGTCAAGCGCCCCTATCGCTCATGGAGCTCCCTCCCGGTTCAACCTTTCGTGCTCCAAGCCTTGAAGAAACGCCTGCATTGATCTAGCGAACGCGTTCCACGGTGACGCTTCCAAGCACGTTCAACCGACAAACCGCCCGCTCTTCCACACGTCCGTGAAAGCTGTCCAGTTCAGTCGGGTGCGAGTCGGCACAATGGACGCCGCTCCGGCCGATTGTGACGGCTGAGACAGCGCTCGCCGCAGGGCCCGGGTCGCGCGGCCGCCACAGCCCCGACGCCACAACTGCACCTTGTGTATACAGCTGCGCGGCCCGGTGTTATCACCGTCTGCAAATTCCCGGCAGCGCCGTTCAAGCAGCCCCAGCTCGGCCGGCCAGGGCAGGTTCGTCGTCCCGGGAACGACGAACGCAGCCCCACACCTTGGCCGATTCCGGCCAGCACGAGCTGGAGCGACCCAGTCGGGAGGAACGAAAAATTGTATGATGCGTGAATGGGTGCTTGACTTGCAGCCTGAAGTGGGCTTCGGCGACACTGCCTTTCTGGCAACATTTTGGAGCGTTTGAGCCACAACCTCAGCATCGCATAAGTGCATTTCCGTGAGAGAGCAGAAACGCCCCCCCCCTCCCCCAACCAACAGTCACCTGCCAGGTCGGTGCGCCAAATCGTTATCGGTCATTCATTATCGAAACAGCTGGGTGCCGGCCGCAGCCTCGTCGCCGACGAACGCCCGGCGGCGCCCTCGCTGTCCATTCGCGCCGCTCCGCGCCCCGACGCAGAGGGCTCCGGCCCGCGCCAGCGGCCGCCGACGTCGGTACCGTATCCTCCGTACATACACTCGCCGTCTGTGTATATGCATGCGCGCCCATGCCAAATAAACGCCGCCGGCCGAGCGGGGCCGGTGGCCGTCTCACGGCCGCGCTTTGACGACCCGCCCCGCGCGTAGCAGAACCGGGACCCGTCTCAGCTCCGGTGAGCATCTGGCGCGCGTGCTCAGCCCACGACCTGGTGGCGTACGCCCGGCCGCCGTCACCAGGCAGAGCAGTTCGCGCCGGCGCACCAGTGCCGTCCGCCGCACTTTGTCGTCGCCTGTATCAGTGACGGCGGCGGGGGAGCGAGAGGGGCGGGGCGCGGGGGGCGTCGGCGCCGGCGCGAGCCGCCGACAGTGACTAACGGCACAGTCGGAGCCGAGAGCGCCGACGGGCCGACCGGCCGACGCGACGGCGCCGACGCCGCGCCACGCCGCAGAGCGCCTGCCGGCCAACGCCCCGATCGACGGGCACTATACGCCTGCGCGGACGGCGCGGCCGTTCGGCGGCCGGCCGCGCCGGGCCGGATAGCGCCCGGCAGTGGAGCGCGGTGGGCGACCGGCGGCGGTGGCGGCTGCCGGCGGGCGACTGAACCGACACGCCGCGGCCGAACCCACTCTCACGCGCGTCGCCACCGGCGGCGGGGTCGCGGTTGCGCCGAAGGTTGTGCCGCGGTTCGGTGACTCATCGCCCCGGTGGATAGATGGCCACCGCCTGGCGGCGTCCGCCTCAGTTTTCAGCCGGCTGCCGAGGCACGCGGGCCGTCGCACTCGCTGCCCCCGCCGCGCGCCGCACGTGAGTGACAACTCAGCCGGCCACCCATCGTGTCCGTCGCGGTCCGTTCGGCGTCCTCCTCGGGCAGTGCGCCGAGATCTCAGCGTCCGCACCGAGTCGGCCTCATCCGCCACGGCGCACATCTGTCCCGTCCGCGGCGTCGCGAGCGCGAGTGTTGGACAGATGCCACCGGCGGCTGTGTCGAATCGCCGGCGACAGGGGGCCGCCCCCTGGAGCCGGACTCTGGCGCTGGCGCCGGTCCTGCTCCTGGTGCTGGCGCTGGGCCTGGCGCCGGCCGGCGCCGCGCCGCGCGCCCTGCGCCGCGGCGGCCCGCATCTGCCGCGCAACACGACGATGCGTGTGGCGGCGCGGTCGCGACCGCGTCGCGCGCCCTTCATCACCGACGACGCGCTCAACAAGCTGATGGCCTACGGCTACCTGCCGCAGTCGGACGTGGAGACGGGCGCGCTGCGCGACGAGTCGCAGCTGACCGACGCCATCCGCCAGTTCCAGCGGTACGCGCACATCCCCGAAACGGGCGTGGTGGACGAGCGCACGCGCCGCCAGTTCACCAAGCCGCGCTGCGGCCTGCCGGACGTGGCGCCCGACAAGCGGCGCTACAAGCGCTACTCGCTGCAGGGCCAGACCTGGGGCGACAAGACGGACCTCACGTGGACGGTGGCGTCGCACACGCGCGACCTCGACGCCACCACCGTCTACCACGAGCTGAACAAGGCGCTCAAGGTGTGGTCGGAGGCGTCCGTGCTGACGTTCACGTACGTGCACTCGGCCGACGCCGACATCGTGGTCAGCTTCCACACCGGCTACCACAATGACGGCTACCCGTTCGACGGCTCGGGCCAGGTGCTCGCGCACGCCTTCTTCCCCGGCACGGGCCGCGGCGGCGACGCGCACTTCGACGAGGACGAGCTCTGGGTGCTCAACCACGAGGAGGAGAGCAAGGACGGCGTCAGCCTGTTCGCCGTGGCCGTGCACGAGTTCGGCCACTCGCTGGGCCTGTCCCACTCGTCGCGCCAGGACGCGCTCATGTTCCCCTGGTACCAGAGCGTGTCCGAGGACATGAAGCTGCCCGACGACGACCGGCTGGGCCTGCAGCAGATGTACGGCGCGCCGCGCGGCAAGGAGCCCGCGTGGGCACCCAACCCGTACCCGCCGCGTCGGCCGCCGGCGCCGAGCCCGGCCACCACGACCACGGCGCGCCCGCGGCAGCGGCCGCGGCCGCGCACGCGCACGCCCGAGTCGCGACCCGACGCGTGCGACACGCACTACGACGCCATCAGCGTCATCCGCGGCGAGACGTTCATCTTCTCGGGCCGCTACTTCTGGCGCATCAACCAGTACTCGGGCACGCACAAGCCAGTGGCGGTCAAGATCTCCGACTTCTGGTACGGCCTGCCGGAGAACCTGACCAAGATCGACGCCGTGTACCAGCGTCCGCACGACCACCGCATCGTCATCTTCACCGGCCGCGACTACTGGGTGTTCAGCAGCAACCAGCCGGAGCCGGGCTACCCGCAGCCGCTGACGACGCTCGGCCTGCCGCACAGCCTCGACGGCATCGACGCCGCCATGGTCTGGGGCCACAACGGCAAGACGTACCTTTTCAAGAACGACATGTACTGGCGCTTCGACGAGGCCACCGGCAAGGTGGAGCTCGACTACCCGCGCGACATCAGCGTCTGGCACGGCGTGCCCTACTACCTGGACGCCGCCTTCCAGTACGGCGGCATCACCTACTTCTTCAAAAAGCGTCAGTTCTGGCGCTTCGACGACCGCCTGATGCGCGTGCGCAGTCGCGTGCCGTCGCTGTCGGCGGTCAAGTGGATGGGCTGCCCGCTGACGGCGGCGCGCTCCGACAAACTGTCGTCGGGAGCGACGGGCCCGGCGCGCGCCACCGGCGCGCTGTTGTTACTCGCGCTGCTGGCGGCGCGAGACCTCCGCTAGCACCGCGCCCACTGCCAGCCACCCTGTGAAAGGACCCGTTGTGATATGTTGTGTTGTAATTATTTAACGTGCTGCGCGCGCGACTGAGTGCGACTGAAAGCGACGAGTGAGAAGCCGCCGGCGCGCGCCGAAACAGCGCTAGTGTCGAGGCTACACGCACTGCCCCGGGGCGTCGATTTTTACGAGTGTTTAGTGATAGAATCAAGTCGAGCGGGGAGGATCCTCATCTTGAACACGGACCAAAGAGCTGGAGCGGACACAGTTGGAGCTCTTTGAGACGAGTGTCACGCATCTCTTAGGGGCCCAAGACCGGTCCGACCGCGCCGTGTCAGAATGCAGAGCTACGCGCGCTTTCTCCAAAGCCTAGTCCATGTCGCGTGTGGTCGGCGCGCGTTTCCGTTCACTCTCACTCTTTTATCATCGGCACAAGCGATCGCTTTCATTATACTCACGCCCGGCCGTAGCTCTTGTGATGGAACTGAAATCAATAAACACGTGTACCTCAGCGGAAAGGTTTTGTAGCGGGCGATTGTCGAGGACAGCGGGTTCCGCGCGGATCACAACCACCCCAGCGGCGGACAGATGCACCTGTCGGGTTATTAAAGCGGCATAGATTATCTTGTTGACAATCCTAACAAATGTTAACGATGTGAACCAGTTCCAATGCCAAACTTACAAGGATGTGGACCGGTGCATATCTAGCCCGTTAAAAACACATTGGTTTGTAATGCGTCGAATTGCCGCCGATACCTTTTCAGAAGGGTGTCAGAGCTTGGCGCCGCGCAAAAATCCTGGCGCACTGCGCGTTGCTTTTGGTCGGCTACAGAATCGGCAGCAACCGGCCACGACAGCTGTCCGTGTTCTTGACCTTGAAACCCGCTCAAAAATAGCCGTCCAACCGGCCGTATTTACGTCAAAACTGCGCAAACTGCGAGGCATCGATATATGAAGCGCGGAAAACTAATCCACCGACCCCCTTCCCCCCCCCCCCCCACACACACTGCCGGACAGCCAACTTCACATAAATAGGCGACCTGCTCCAACATAACAGCACAGCAAACGGATATCGCGTGCGACCCTGGCGTCTTTGCCAACGCAAAAGTGCGACACTCGAAGCCCCGCTGCAGCAAAACCGCGCTGCCCAAGACCCACTGCAAGCAGCGCTTTCGTAACAAGACAAGTTACGCCCTGAGCTGAGCTAACAAGCCGCTTCTATCGGGAGCCTGCCGCTATCATCAACTACGGTTTTGACAGGACCACTTGGCGCTGCACGTCCGCTCTCGTGCGCGAGCGAGGATAACCTAGTCCTCGCGGCTGGCTGGTGAGCCGGTGTTCCTCCCCGCCGCCTCTCCCAATGCGGTCGAACCCAGAGGCGGATGCATGCCGACGACGTGCATGCCATCCCCTGCCAAGCAGGGAGCCGAGCGCCTCGATCACATTACCTAACCCAGTGCGGCGGTATTTCCGAGGCCGGCAGCTGACCATACATTACCCGACGTCCTGTGATGATTCACGAGGACGGAATAATTGGGAGGCCAAATTTATGCACATGTGCTGTACCTGCGGGCTGAAACGAACAGCGTGACAGCGAGCACATGTCGATGCAAAAGAGAACAGGCCTTTGCGGGGCATGATGCATGCGAGCGCTGCAAACCAGCACCAGCCGGGCGAAAACGCCGCAGATTTGCGCCGATACCAGGGCGTACGCACATAGTAGCCCTGGGGCATGTGACACCCCCCCCCCCCCTTCCCCACCACCAAACGTATGGCATGTGTCAACATGTAAGGGAGAGAATGTCGACAGTCATAAATTATCCGCGCACGCGTAAAACTAATAAGATCGAGAACGTGTGATGCTGTTCACGACAGGGAAGAAGACAGGCAGGAGAGACATTTCGCCCGCCTGCGGTGCGCTAAACCGGATTTCCAGTGATTTGTGCTTCTGTTGTTAACCCCCCCCCCCCGCACCCCCTCCCCTTGCGAAATCCTGCGTACATCCCGAGAAGATAACGTCAAATCTGCTGAACCGATGATCAGCGAGGTCACCGGAACAGCCAGCAGACGATATGGCAATGTCAATCAGGACGAACACACGCCCGACTCCACCAAGCCACATCGGTAACACCGCCGGACGGGATCCAGCCGTCCCGGGCGCCGGCCGCCTCCCGCCTCCCGGCGCCTCCCGGAGGCGCCGGCCGCCTCCCGCCAGTCCGCGACTCATCCGCGACTCATCCCACCACACAGAGTCACGCTCGGCCACGGGACGCCCCAGTGTGACTCAGTCACGTCCGGCGGGAGCGGGACGGCCGTCGCGCGCGGCGAACACGCCCGCGCGCCGCGCCCTCCGCCCGGCCTCAGGCCGCGCTCCGACCGGCGACACGGCGCTGCTTATCTCCGGGAGGGGAGGCGCCAACGCCGGCAGGTCGGCCACGTGGCCTCCGGCGCACGGCCGGGGCGGCGCCGCGACGGCCGGCAGAAGCCGAGCAGGCCGAGGGGGCAGGCGACAGGCGATCACGCCAGGCAGGCTCACGGCATGACCAGGCTTACGATGGGCTCACGACAGAATCGGCTCAATGGCCCGACACCACGGGTCATCCGGAATCTCACCCAACCCAAGGAACCTTCAGCGCAGTCCAGAGTGGAACAGCCGCCCGGTAAACGACCGGCTGAAGCAGATCCGCAGCGGAGAGTTCTGGATGGCGGCAGATCCACAGCTCGATCCGTGGAAAGGAGCCCATCGACGGACGTGATCACCGGATGATGGCGACCCTGCGCCAAGCGCAGCGCCGTGCCTGCCCGGCTCGGTCCGCCCGCCAGCGGCTAGACGCGCCGCGCTCGCCAGCCGTCCTGCGTCGGCGGTCCGGCGGCGCGTCTCAGCGTGGGCGGCGGCAGCGGCGCGGCGTGGCGACCGTCCTCCCGCGCCTGCGTCCGGCTGGCACGCAGTGCGGGCCGCTCGGCGCACCAGCCGTTCCCGGAACGAAGCCGGGAGGTCGCACGAGCTCTGCTCTCGGTACAGCAGCAAGCGTCTCCGAGCTGCGACGCCACGCGAGGAGACAAAGGATGGATGCGCGGCGGGGAGAGGGGTACACGGAAGGGAAGTAAATACAGAGAGACAAAGACAGCTGCGATGCGGACAAAGAGAACGAGAGGAGCACGGGCGAGATGGGAGATCAGATGGAAGAGATGGGCGCGGGGGAGAAAAAGCAGCGAGGCATGCGGCGGAGGAGGGAGAGGGACAGGCAGGGAGGGAGGACGAGTGACGAAAAAGAATGACAGACCGATAAAAAGAAGAGGCAACCAACGCAAGAAACGCCTTCAGCTCCTTGTCTCTTGACATCGTGCGCGCCTGTGGTGATAACCACCGATCTTTGATGCAGATAGTACAGCATCCTGAATGAAAGAAGACAACCTGTCGAAAAAGTTGTGGAGATACTCAGCGTTTTTAGCAGTGTTCGTGGATATGATGACCTGCGGCCAGCAGTGTTAATGCATCGGTCACGCACTTGCATGACACATTCGATAGCAGCCTAATATCTCCCTTGAATCGGTATTTTCGGCGCACAGCACGTCGGTGAGCACCAGCACACACACACACGCACATACCGAGACTTTAGCAAGCGGAGCCCGCCATCGGACATCGATGGTGGACGTCGCGCCCTCCCAGCCCGCCGACACCGGCGGCCAAGGCTACCGGCGCTTCCGTCACTCGGCTGCAGACGCCGCCGGGGAGGGGGTGGTGGGGAGGGGCGGCGGGCGTGACGCTACCGCCGTCTGCAGGGTGGCGGTGTCGTGGAGGGCGGCGGGCGGCGGGCGGCGCACCCGCACCCCGGCGCCGCCTGGCGGGGCGCGCGGCCTTCGGCGGCACGGGACGCGTCGGGACCCGGCAACGATGGCGATGTCGCGCGCCCATGTCATAACGCAGCTGGGGACCCGCAAGCGTGGCCCACCTGGCTGGGGGCTCGTGTGACGGTGATCGCCTGATTCACGCCGCTCGCGACTCAATGGTGACTGACGCGCGGAAACCGCAGGTGCGCCGCCGGCGTGACGCCACCGGCGCAGTGATGTCAGTGACACTGCCTGGCAGCCATCCGAGTCGGTTGGTCGGCCGATGGCGCCGGATGCTGCCGGCCCTGTTCCGCCTGCAGTGAAGGACGGGTGCTGCAGCGGCGCGCGCGCGCGATGACCTCACGCCAGCGATGGGTTGAATTCCCCATGGGCACCCAGCTAAGCGGAGCAGAAGACCAGAAGAGCGGCGCAAACAGACGGCACACGCCGGTTTCAGGGTCATGGCCTTTCCGTTCGATGTCCGCTCAGTCCTTTGATCCTTGGCCTGCCCTTCTAGTGGTCTGGTTCACCTCGTGCCATCTCCGAAGGCGCGGCACCCCCGACACGCTCATCAACCACGCTCTTATATGGGCATGGCTGCCAATGCACAGCCAACCGATGTGGCTGTGACCCATCCGCAGTAGGCATGTCATGTTAACAATTACTGGCCTAGCTGAAATGCACGGAATTTGGTTTTACGCCTCCCTAAAACTGCAAGACATAGCCGACGGCCAGTCGACCAATCAGACCCAAAACTCTACACAAACACCGGTATGAATTCCCTGGCATCTCCGTGCGCACAATAACCAGAGCCTGGCATCGACGCTGATCACGCGCTTGGGCCAGTACTATTCCGGGACGATGCGCTATCAATCGCAGCCCACGCGCCATCGCCCATGCCGATAACCTAAACCGAGTCTGGTTCCAAACGTCGCCCGCCCCGCCCCGCCGCCCACCGGCGACCTGACGCCGGCCAGCCAGCCCTCACTGCCCTCGGAGCGCGACCCGGCCACCGCGAGCCAGCCGAAGGCAGCGGCCTGAGCGGGGCGGCAGCGCAGGACCCCGGACGCGAGATCGGCTGAGCGGGCGGCCTGTACCGACAGATGCGCCGGACGCAGGGAGCGGGGCGGAGCGGCCATGGCCCGCCGCCGGGCCGGCCGGCCGGCCGGCTGGCCTGGCAGGCCGCCCGTCCGCCGGCCGTCCCGGACAAGAGCGGCCCGCGGCCTCGAGTATGAGTCACGCCGCCAGTGGTGCACGCCGACCGGTCCCCCCTCCCCGTCCACCACCAGCGCGGCGGCCGCGCGGCCGGGAGAGCTCAGCTGGCGTTTGACGAGCCGCCCCACCGCGCGCGGTCGGTGCGTCTCCCGGGGAGATCCGGCGTCAGCAACCGCGTCTCCCGGCAGACCACACTGGTCTCTCCAGCAGAGGCCTGTCAGCGGCGGGCCAGCCCGGCCCGACGATGCCTGGTGCCGCCCGCCGGCCGGCCAGAGGCGTGGCCCGGCCGCCCGCCGCCGGATCAATACAGACGACGCCGTACATCGGCGGCCGCGGCGGCGGCGGCCGCCGCCCACCACGGTCACGACCCCTGACGGCGGCGTGGAGAGCGAGCGTCGACGGTCGACACCGCCGCCGAATGCCAATGTCGGGCCACCGCGGCGCCGGTGCGTATTTCTGGTCCGT